GCCGACGCCGACCTGCGCCGGGTCACACCGACGATGGCCCGGGACTGTTTTCCCTGACTTCAGAACCCACATAGCATTACAATATTTTCTTTTGAAGCCCAGGCATGGCGGCAGAAGAAATGTACAGCCAAACCGTGAATTGCGAACTGCTGCGGGCGTAAGCAAGGAGGAGAAGCCGGCAATGGCCCTGGAACACCATAGTTTCTTTTGCAGCCCAAGCATGGAGGAAGAACACATGTACAGGCAAACTATGAACTGCGAACTGCTCCGGGCAAACACAAGCACAAGCCGACCTGCCTTCTGGGTTTCTGGATGCCCTGCGATAAGACTGAACGACGGCCTTGTGTTTTGCGTCGGGATTTTTAGTGCGCTTTGGGGTTGCATGCTTGTGTGTTGTTCGGGTACGGAGGATCCTCGGCCTAGTGGATCAAGCAGCGAAATGCACAAACAGAAGGACTTGTTGAAAAGTTGGTTCGCTGCCCACGTGTGATTTGAGCTGTTTTGAGTTTTAATTATGAGGTCATCTGTTGTGAGCGATTTTGACAGTCTGGAGGGGGATCGCAGTCCGTTTAAGTGCTTCCATGCAAGCACGTTCCTCTCAAAAGGGATTTCTGATGTTAGGACAAGCTGCTTCATCAGTGCGAGTTGCAGCTCGTCACTAGTCGATATACCTTCGACATTGGCAAAACAGATGCTGGAAGCCACGAAGACTAGAATGGTAACAAACATCCACCGGAGTCTCAGGACGCGGCCTGCACCTGCACGGGTGATGCTCAAGTCGCGTATGTCTGCGATGCTGGCGATCGGAGCCTTGGCTGCTTCATTGCTATGATTCTGGGCCAAGTAAGCGACAAATCAGACATTTCATGCCAGAGTCTTTTCTGAGGGTTCCCTGAATCGCAGATGGACCTGCGCCCCGGTTTTTTTCGAGTATCAGCTTAACTTTCTCTACACCCGCAACCTAGGGCCTGTTCCCCTTGTCAGGGAGCGCTGTGTGCGCTTCACCGCCTCGCTGCTGAGGGAGACCAGTCGCAGAAAAAGAGTGCCATTCTGTGGAGACCTGTGGACCTGTAGGTTTTAGGGTTTAGGGTTTAGGGACAATAAGAGGTTCTACTGAAGCCATCTGAAGCCCTCAGCGTTTTTTTATGCGAGGTCCGCGAATCCAGCCAAGGCCTGCAGTGCCCGCCTCGGCACACAATGGCAGTGAACGGCTCAAATTCCCCTCGTGACAGGAGCCCTCGATGCGTCCCGCTAACCATACACCCTGAAACCCTTAAATCCTAACTGACTCATGCAGGTGGAGAAGAGGTGACAACAAAAAAGAAGAAACCCTTAAATCCTATACAACCCTATAAGGTCCATCATCATGGACAAGATCCATGCTGCTGGGTTGTTTTGGCGGTGAGCCAGACCTGCTTGCGCGAGCGAGAAAGGTGGTCTCAAGAAGCCGCTGCTTGTTCTAGAAAAGATGCGTATATGTATGTATGTATGTCTATATANNTATATATATATACACATATATGCATAATATTTCATCGATATTACAATACATTATCTTTACTACATGCACATTACATGTGCATTGTATGTACAGTAAGTTTTTTGCAATACACTTTCGTGTTTCGCCATATTACATTATCTGTGCATGAGCACATTGCGCAAAAGCTTGTGCTTGTCCATTAGATTTCTTGGCCCAGCTACTGCTTTCTGCACATGAGCGACCAGACACCCGAGATTGTGACAAGAGAAAGCCGACACAAGCGACAAATATACAACGTGGGTGCCAACATGTGCGGACCTTCGCCACGCCAGTGAGGGAAGCAAATTTTGTTTGCCGCCGAGTGCCTAGCTTGAGGCAAGGTTGTCAGATGTTGTTGTGAGGAAGGGCCTCGAGGCCGAAAAACATGATCATAGCTGATTCAGTGTCTCAAGTTCGCGCCATGCTGCACTAAGAGTCGAGTCGAAGAGGTATGTACCGGGACTATCATTGTAGAGTGACTTCTGGGCAGCATTTATTGGATCAAACCGAACCGTTGAGTGCACGGCACCGCCTCTTGCATCACAGCCACCGGTTGCTGCTTGATTTTCCAGCCGGCACTATGTGGGCAACATGGGCAACCTTCTTGGCTTTGTGCATTGGCCTCGTCCCCGCCGTGTCTGGGGAGGTGGTTGGGAGGTTTGATGGCAGCATGTCGGCATGCACGACCGAGGCTGACTCGTCAATGTTGCTGCAGAAGCGGGCAGATGCCTCCTATCTGCACGAGGACGGAAACGAGGCGATGTCGGCTTCAACGACCTCTGGCCCCATAATGCCAAGACCACCGAGTTCCGAGTTGGCTGCCGACGCACATCCCAACGACACCGAGATCCTCTTGACGGATGTTTCTGGGTTTCACGTGGGCGACCACATCGTCATCCAGGACGATGCCCAGATTGGCGAAGAGCGAGTGATCCTGGATATAATTGAAGACCCACAGTTAGCGCAGCATGGTGCAGATGGTGCCCGCTTCTTCGGGAAAGGACGCCTGATCATCGACAAGCTTAAAAAGTTCTTCCGCAAAAAGCTGCGAGCATTGGTGAGAGACATCATCAAGACCACCACCACCACCACCGC